CACGCCACCGGTAAGTACCGGCCCTACCGGTCCTGCCCCCACATCCACGACCCCGACGGGGCCACACACACACTCAAGTCACTTAGACAGGCACGCAGCACACTCACACAGGTCAGCCAGCATTCAGACAGACATGCAGTCCAGCACACACACACACAAGCAGACTTAGCAGGCGGGGGAACTTAGTATGGCATGCATTCCACGGTAAGACTCAGAAATCGGCTGTCTGTTTCAGTCCGTGTGATGACAGGTCATAACAGAAGCGTCAAGACTCAAGAGTGACTATACTATGCATTTTTACTTGAGTTGCCAGTCGAATACGAACCAGACTGATGCTCCCCAGAATGGATATGGAGCGGGATCCATAAGGACCTGTTTTTCTAAAAAAGACAAAAAAGTTAAAAAAACTTATCGGACGAAGTGGCAGATGTGACCTTTCGACGACTATGCTCATGTTCTATCCATGAGTATGTGTTTTAAGTGGGTTGGTGCAACTTCCGAAACTGGACTCTCACCTTGAAAGAAGGTTCTGCCTCCTCACGACCAGGCTTATCCGATATCTCCAACACCCACTGCTCAACCACGCCCAAAAAAAAAAAAAAAAAAAAAAAAACGACACATTGACACAAGTGCTTGATTAGAAACATGCATGCATCTGTCACCACAACAAACAAAGACATGATAAATTTATTATGAACTGCAGATATGTTGTGTGACTTGTGTCCGTCTCGAACAGTGTAGAACAACAATGAGGAAAACTTCTGAAAAAGTGAAAAGAAACCGAAGAAAACGAGTGACTGCAATGACTTGCTGGTTCTAGGTTGCCTGTAGCCTCTCTCTGACGAGGCTGTACTATAGGTAGGGGCAGATTCATAACTTTGTTTGGCTGAGGGCTAACTGAGAGACCTACCTGTGAGGAAAATTTGTGAGGGACATATTTGTAAATATAGGAAATATGGGCCCAGTACTAACTCGAATTTCCTACAGCTACCCTAACTGTGAATGGCAGACCCGGGCTACCCCTAGGACAGACAGGCCCAATGGGCCTACGCTGATAGACGGTCCTATAGCCTATAGCTGGGTAGGGAGAGGCCCTAAGGGCCGAAACAGAAACGGTACCGGTCGGTCAGTCAGTCCGGTCTAGGTCGAGTCTAGGCTAGGGTAGAGTATAGATAGGTTGAGAGAATCGGTCCAGGGCTTTTGGCAGTTGACACTTCGTGGCGGAAGTTTGTGCACGCGGCATCAGGTCGTGGTGACTGATACATGCGTGGGAGACGGCGGACATAGCCAGACCTTCAGAGCGCTGACCAGACTGGGGTCAACGTTGTCCGCTCTCACTCTCTGAGAGTCAAAGCGGTCTGGGCTATCAGAGGTCTGATGCGTTGGAGCACGTGGTGCACTGCTGACCCTCCTCAGGAGTAGGGTCCCAGTGGCGATGCAGCCATAGCTGCATCTTCTCAGAGATTATCATCGTCTGGACTTCATCTTCATCAGAGACCGTTGCTGCTGAGCTTCTTCCTCATCATCTGAGTGGTGATTGGCTCTGGGAGCCTGTTTCATCTTGGCGCAGGCCACTGAGTTGGATATCAGGGTGGCGCTGGGTGTTACCTGGGGTTCTGGTGCTATTTTTAGCTGTTCGGTGTGTGGGGTTGAGGCGCTACCCCTCTGAGGGTAGCGCAACAGGTCTCTGAGGTTATTCAGTGAAAACGAGGCTCTGAGTTTAATAAACAGTTGTAAGACTGTGTTCAAGTTGTCATCTCCTCATTGGTTTCTGGCTGTGATCACTCGTTTGTCTTCTATGAATGATCGCTGGGACTTCTGTGGAGAGAATCCATTGTGTTGTGTATTCTGTCACTTCGCTCTTCTGAGTCTTCCGCTGCGTTCCTTTTGTTGGGCGGTGTGACACTCCACTACCTCTCCGCTTCCTTCTGTGCATGTATGGGTGTGTACAGGAGTTCCTGTGAGTGAGCGTTACAAAATTTCAACGGACAATCATGTTCATAACACATAGGAAACCTTTTTTTCCCTTCTTCTTCTTCTTCTTCTTCTTCTTCTTCTTCTTCTTCTTCTTCTTCTTCTTATAACATCACGGTGCACCTCCTCTACACAGATGGTGGTGAGAGAAGCACCGAGATTCAGGGGTGCAGTCAAAGTATCAACATGCTGATTTGTCAAAGAAAGGTGGATCTTTAGCCTCAAAGTTCAGATATTGTTGATTGGATGGGATCCTGCCTCTTGGCTTGGCTTCAAGCCGCCAGGTTTGTACATTAAATACCAGCTGGTTCCTTCCGCTTTATGTTACAATGTTTCAATGAGCCTATTCCCCTCTCCCAAACAAAGAAGATAGTTCAAATGTGCTATTGTCTGAGGGTGGGAAGGGGTTTATGAACTCAGTAGATGGCCTCATTCAGAATGTGTGATCAAAATTTGTCCAATCTACGGATCTTAGGTGAGCCCCTTGTGGACTCCAGATAATCAGCTGGAACGTCAACGGCCTGGGGAACATCCTAACCGACGAAGACAAGATCAGAGACATCCGGACAGGTCTGGTGGGGAAGGATATCCCCAAACCCGACCTCATACTCCTTCAAGAAACCCATCTATCCAACCTGATCGGTCACCCGAGGATACAGCAGAGGATGGAGAGATCCGTAGGGGGATGCACAGCAGCCTTGTGGTCCAACAGAGACGGTTATAGTAACAGGGGGACAGCAATACTGATCCCAAAAACGTCCAAAATCCTGACCGAAGGGCAGATCCTAGACAGCGAGGAAGGGAGATGGTCGTGGATGGACATCAAGTGGCAAGGTGAGGACCTGCGAATTCTCAACCTCTACGCACCAAACACAGAATCCGACAGACTAGTCTTCTTTGAGAACATCAGATCCCTCATCCCCAACCCACAGCCAGTGATCATCGCAGGGGATTGGAACACAACCCTGGACCCAAACCTGGATYGGATATCCAGTACGGTACTAATGGGACCCACAAGAGYGGGCACCAGGRTTCAAAATCTGATGACTGRACTCGAACTCTGCGACCYTCTCAGGGCACTGCACCCGGACAAGAAAACCTTTTCCCGGATAAGGAGGAACCAAGCCAACCGGACTTCACTGTCCAGGATTGACTTCTTCCTCATATCTGAGAGCCTACTCGAAACAGTCAAAGAGGCCGAAATCCTCCCATCAGCAGCCTTCAAAGGACTGGATCACAAACCCATCCAGATGCTGCTCAATTTCAACGTACCAGTCCAAACAGGCCAAGGCTTCTTCAAGCTAAACAACTCATTATTAAAAACCGAAAGAATGACGGCGACGGTCCAAGAAAACTGGGCCATCAATAAACAGCGAGAATCAAGGAGGACAAACAATCACCAGTGGTTTATTGAAAGCTACACATAACTAACACGGGCAGTCTCAGCGAAATCAAGAGATATTGCTAGAGACCGAAAAAGAAGAAGGGAAGAACTCCAATTCGCGATGGCCGTCGCAGAAGAAAATCTAGCTGAGGATCCAACCAGCAGTTTCTACCAAGAACTACTGGACAACACCAAAGAAGAACTAAACGAATGGAGGAGATGGAAACTTAGAGGTCTACAAATACGTGCGAGGATGACAGACTATGCTCTTAACGAGTCTATGACTAAATTCTTTTTCTCCAAAATAAAGGCGAACGCTAGAAACAACATGATAGAAGCACTCAAAGACCCAGCGGACGCAGGAAGCACGAAAACAACAGGCCAGGAGATGGTAGGGATAGCCAGATCCTTTTATGCAGATCTTTATGAGTCCAAGACCCCCTCACCTCYGACAACAGCGAACCTAGCAGCCCGCCAACTGATGATATCGTACCTCGACAGAACCATCTCGTCTAGCCAGGCGGGAAGCATGGAGGAACCACTGACCCTGGCCGAACTACACACAGCCTTGAATCAGATGGGAAATGACAAAGCCCCGGGCATCGACGGCCTCTCTAAGGAATTCTGGAGCTGCTTCTGGCCGACCTTGGGAGTGGACCTACTCGAATTTCTCAACGAGAGTTTGCGCAAAGGAGGCCTAGGAAAGGAACTGAGCACCAGCGTGGTTTCACTGTTGTACAAGAAGGGTGACAAAGAAGATCTGAAACACTACAGACCCATCTCCCTACTAACCACGCCGTACAAAATCCTAGCCAAGGCGCTAGCGAACAGAATCACAAAACTAACGAATAGCTGCCTTCACATCGATCAAGCAGGCTTCATCCCAAGTTGGTACATATTGGACAACGTGATGACTCTGAACGAGGCAGCAAAAAAGATCACGGAGAAACGAATGAAGGTAGCAATCCTGTTCTTCGAATTCGAGAAGGCCTACGACCAAGTGAACTGGGATTTTCTCCACGCATGCATGGAAAAAATGGGTGTAGGCCCGAACTTCAGAAGTTGGGTAAGAATCCTGTACGCAGACGCAACAGGAAGAGTCCAGGTCAATAGAATACTATCAGAAACCTACCCAATTTCACGATCAGTCAGACAAGGTGACCCACTGGCTCCCCCCATCTTTCTCTTCATAATGGAAGCCATAGCCTCATTTCTCCGCAAAGACCCATCCATTGACCGCCTCACAGAACAAAACTTCAACCCGTTACACGACTTCGCCCTACCCACTGCACTCATGTTCGCTGACGACCTAACGGTACTCATTAGAGCAAACAACAGCTCCTTCCAATCACTGGTAAGGGCAATGGAAGCATTTAGACTCGCATCGGAAATGAGAGTCAATTGGAATAAAACCGAAGGATGGTGGTTAGCAGACGGCACCCCTCCCCAACCCCCGGACACAACCACACCCATGTCCCGGACCATGGGAGAGCAAGCACTACGATTCCTGGGCATCATGATAAACAAAGGAGTGTGGCCGGGAATGGGTCAGAACCTAATAGCAAGAGCAATCACTCGCCTGGCCCAGTGTAAAACCGCCCAGGCCTCACTGATCGGACGGGCACTACTGATCAACACAGCGATCTTCTCCACACTGTGGTATATGGCATCAATATGGTCCCCCCCTGACGACGACCTCAAGGAGCTCAAGAACAGGGTAAGATGCTACCTGTGGACAGGTGACCCCAACAGGATCACCTGTCTCAACAGGGTCGCATGGAACCACATCACTAGGAAGCCACAGGAAGGGGGCCTCCGGATAATTGACCCAAAACAGGAATCCATAGCACCGCAGATGAAATGAATAATCAAGATTCTCACCAGACAATTCCTCCCGTGGACCCACATGGCGCTGGACAGCATCAGAAACCTAGCTCCCATCATCTCCCCTCGAAACATGAACGGCCTGTTCTGCATTATGGCAAAGGACTGGACAGTCAAGTCTAAACAGAAAGTGCAAGATCTTTTAAATACAATTATATTGTTTTTCTAATTTTTTGTTTTTGGGTGTGAATTCAATTACTTGACCACGCAGAAGAAACCCCGCACAGCACAATCCTGCACAACTCAACACAAACCCAACTCATACAGTCAGTAAATACTGGAGCCCCACCATCAAGGCCTGGCGTAAAATGATGTCGAGCAAACACGGGG